GGGGGTTAAGCTTAAGTTTCAGAAAATATGAGTATCTTTATGTAATTTATATCTGAATTTGGTGCAGATGTTTCCTGTTGCAGCTACTTGTGGTAACACCTACGTTCTTAAGCCTTCAGAGAAGGACCCAGGTACCTGTTCTCATATCTATCAATTATTGACTTATTTTGTAGCATACGACATTTGGTGTCTGTATCCGACAACCAGTTCGGGTTCATGCCGGATCGTTCAACTACGGAAGTTATTCACCTTATTAGGAGGTTGGTGGAACAGTACAGGGATATGAAGAAAGATTCTGCACATGGTGTTTATTGACCTGGAGAAAGCGTATGACAAGGTACCAAAGGAGGTTCTTTGGAGATGCTTGGAGGCGAAAGGCGTGCCGGTTGCTTACATTAGGGCGGGCGATTAAGGACATGTATGATGGAGCTAAGACTCGGGTTAGGACAATGGGAGGCGACTCAGAGCATTTTTCGGTTGTTATGGGGTTGCACCAAGGATCTGCACTTAGCCCATTTTTATTTGCCCTGGTGATGGACGCACTGACACACCATATTCAAGGGGAGGTGCCATGGTGTATGCTATTCGCTGATAACATGGTTCTGATTGATGAGACGCGAGGCGGCGTTAACGAGAGGCTGTAGGTTTGGAGACAAGTCTTTGAGTCTAAGGGTTTCAAGTTGAGCAGGACTAAGACATAATACTTGGAGTGCAAGTTCAGCGCCAAGTCGAGGGAAGCAGGCATGGACGTGAGGCTTAAATCACAGATCATCCCCAAGAGAAACAGTTTCAAGTATCTTGGGTCGGTTATCCAGGGGGATGGGGAGATCGACGAGGATGTCGCGCACCATATAGGGGTGGGGTGGATGAAGTGGAGGTTAGCATCTGGAGTCCTATGTGACAAGAAAGTTCCACTGATGCTCAAAGGTAAGTTCTATAGAGCGGTAGTTAGACCAGTCATGTTGTATGGGGCAGAGTGTTAGGCGGTTAAGAACTCACATATCCAGAAGATAAAAGTAGCAGAAATGAGGATGTTGAGGTGGATGTGCGGGCGCACTAGGATGGATAAGATTAAGAATGAAGGTATTCGGGAGAAAGGTGAGCGTGGCTCCGATGGATGACAAGATGCGGGAAGCAAGGCTCAGATGGTTCGGGCACGTGCGGAGGAGAAGCCCGAATGCCCCAGTAAGGAGATGTGAGCGGTTGGCTTTGGCGAGTAGGATAAGAGGTAGAGGGCGGCCCAAGAAGTATTGGGGAGAGATGACCAGGCAGGACATGGTGAGGCTTCAGATTTCCGAAGACATGACCCTTTATAGGAAGGTGTGGAGTTCGAGCATTAGGGTTGTATGTTAGGAGGTAGTGGAGCTCTTTTCTACTTCGTACCGGGTGAGAGGCTAGTCTGATAGGGTTGTGTTCTAGACTGCTAGTGGTTATTGTTGTGTCCATACTTTTCTTCCACTTTTCATAGTACCGAGCCTTACGTGTTACTGTTATTGCTTTTCATCTATTTTCTAGTACTTATGATGCTGTTATTATTTCTATGGTTTCTGTTGATGGTACTGATATATTGTCTTTTTCGTCTCCTTGAGCCGAGGGTCTACTGGAAATAGCCTCTCTATCCCCTTGGGGTAGGGGTAAGGTGTGTGTACACTATACCCTTCCCATACTCCACTTGTGGGATTTTACTGAGTTGTTGTTGTAGCATACGACATTTAGGGGAAGAAGTACATGTATATCACCAGTTATGTAAAGCGAAGGGTTTACAACTTAATAAAAGAGCTTATATTGAACCTATACCCTTCCCATACCCCACTTGTGGGATTTTACTGAGTTGTTGTTGTAGCATACGACGTTTAGGGGAAGAAGTACATGTATATCACCAGTTATGTAAAGCGAAGGGTTTACAACTTAATAAAAGAGCTTATATTGAACCTATACCCTTCCCATACCCCACTTGTGGGATTTTACTGAGTTGTTGTTGTAGCATACGACGTTTAGGGGAAGAAGTACATGTNCCCCCCCCCCACCAAGAAATAAATAAAAAGAAAGCCCAAAATAATTGACTGGAGTCATTTTTATATAATAATAGACCCGTCTAAAATAGTATCACTTATGCTCTTCTGAATTTGACTTATTTTTGTTTCACCGTTTGGTTTCAGGGGCTTCCATGATGTTGGCAGAGTTGGCAATGGAAGCTGGTTTGCCTGATGGTGTTCTAAATATTGTTCATGGAACTCATGTAGGTCTTTCCCTATAATTGCTAGTGATATGTTTTTTCTGCTTCCTTGTTTTAGTCCACTACATGTATAGTTTCTGTCTGACCCTACCCTATATTTTAAGCAACACCCTAAGATTGCGTAAAACTATGTAATGAATCTGCCTTTTATCCCACAATAAAAATTATATTGATGCTTCCAAGGAAGGCATTTTTCTTGGCCACATTCCATCCCGTCCATACCGTTTTAACAACACGGCTTACTGGTATTAGTAGTGAGATATAGTTGTGTCTTAATGGTGTATGTATGAGTATTCAGGATACCCCTCTGTCTTGCAGGACATTGTGAATGCTATATGTGATGATGACGATATCAGAGCCGTATCATTTGTTGGCTCAAATCAAGTGAGTACCATTATTTTTTGACTATTTAAGCCACAATTCTTAAGTACCTTATGCGTAGTTAAATACAGGATAATAAATAGTACAGTGTTCCCAAGACCAAATGAATCTATAATTTGCATGGTTTTGATCTTCTAATTTCTTTAGCTTGGTTTGGTTATGTTGTCTAGTGATGGATCAGTAGCTGGTTATAATTATTTGTGGGTGTTTTCTTTCTTCTTCTTCTTCTTCTTCTTTTTTATTTTATTTTATTGTTTTTGGTTTGGTTTTTGAGTTGAGCATAGCTTGTCTCTGCATACATTTTTCTAGTAATGATCTGCAGCTATCTTTGTTTTCTAATTTTGGTGTTTTAAGTTGAATCTGTACCCAAAAAGGTGTTGTTACTCCCTAAAATTCAGAAACTATTTCAAATGAACTATCAGAAAACATGAGCGACGAAAGTTGTCTTTCCCATGGAAAATAAAGGGCAGCCCGGTGCACTAAGCTCCCGCTATGCGCGGGGTCCGGGGAAGGGCCAGACCACAAGGGTCTATTGTATGCGGCCCTTACCCTGCATTTCTGCAAGAGGCTGTTTTCACGGTTTGAACCCGTGACCTCCTGGTCACATGACAACAACTTTACCAGTTACGCCAAGCTCTCCTCCCCCCTTTTAATTGAAAATATTTTTTGGTTTTTGGTGCCAGGAAATGACTTATTTTCTAAAAAAATGTTTTCCATCATCCCAAACACGCCCTAGATGCTCCATATTTTGTCTTTAAAGATTCACTTCATGGATTTTTACATTTTCTTTTCCGCTTAATATTTTGGTAGTTGTCTCATGCTTAGTTTTTGTGCTTTATATTTGGGTGGTCAAGTCTCTCCCATTTGTCTCTGCCTCTTTTGGCTTTCACCCATTCGCCATCAATAAGGTTTTGACACGTCACAAAGGCCCGGGTGGATGGTTAAGTGTATGCTAAAGTTTAACACATCAATGAATGAAATCCTGGTTTCTTTCAAATGAAATTGGTTGTCAATAGATCTCTCATCTATTTTGTATCATCAAGTTTACCGTTTGGTATATCCCAGGCTGGTATGCATATATATGCTAGAGCTTCAGCTAAAGGAAAACGTGTTCAGGTCAGTGCAATATTACCAACCCCCTCACTTATTGAGGTTAAAGACATGACTACTAATCATTGAAATACCTTAGTCCAATATGGGAGCCAAAAATCATGGCGTCGTCATGCCTGATGCAAACATAGATTCCACGATAAATGCTCTAGTGGCAGCTGGTTTTGGTGCAGCAGGACAAAGATGCATGGCATTAAGCACAGTGGTCTTTGTTGGGGACTCAAAACCTTGGTAATACATTTCACCTTGCTTATTATTACTCTAATTTTCTTTTATGTTTTAGGTTACCATTGAGACCTTTGAGGCAGGGTATTACTACTTTATCTTGCAGGGAAGAAAAGCTGTTGGAACGTGCAAAAGCCCTAAAGGTCAGTGGTGGAACAGAACCTGATGCAGACTTAGGTCCAGTAATTAGCAAGCAGGTGGGTGCATGGTTTAAGATTGCACAAACATGTTACTCAACGACTTCAGCTGCTTGCAAATTTCCACGTTTATGATTCTGGATCAACCTTTTTCTGCTTTTACTCATTTTTCTGAGACCACAGGCTAAAGAACGAGTATGCCGATTGGTTCAAAGTGGCGTTGATAGTGGAGCCAGATTATTACTTGATGGAAGAGATATTGTGGTATCTGCTTATATCCTGTTTGTCTTCTTATTTGTGTTTCTGACAGCACCCAAATTTCCATTGAGATGTTCTTTTTCATATAGATGCGAGCAAAAGGGTGAGTGATCAATGATAAAGAGGCTCTAGGAAATAATGACTTAAAAATGATGAAAGTAAGAGAAATGAATATCTGAAACACACATCGGACATTTGTCATAACCGCTTAATTTCAGGGTATAATTAATCAGTTTAGTAGTTCAAATGGTTGCTGGAGTTCGATTCTCAGAGTCATCATAATTTTAGAAGTAACAGAGCTTCTTGCCAATGAAACAGAGTAATGTTTGGCAAATCCAATCCTGTTTCAGTGCCCTTTATTCGTTCGGCAAAATTGATCTTATTCTTGCGCTACTTTTGGCTTTACTTGCAAAAGACGTGATTGAGTTATAAATCTGTCTAAACTCACAAGGTAAAGCAACGAGGAGCCAGGAGGTGCATTATACTATGTCACCAAAAAATGATGGCAAAGTTGATGGGATAGGTAGATTTGGCATTAAACTGCATGTTAGCTAAATGTCGAGTACAGTCCCTTTATGCCCTAATATAACGGGAAAAAATTACTTCTACTACTTATCAGGAAAAAAAATTTAGTTGTCAAACAAGAAAAGAAAAAAATAGCTTTATCCTTTTTTTTCTTTCATCAATAGCAGTTTCTGTTCTTCATTATGACACGAGCTGGGTCAGTAAAGTTTAACTGTTTCACCCTGATGCCTAATAGGTCCCAGGATATGAAAAAGGCAATTTTGTTGGTCCCACAATCTTGTCTGATGTCACTCCTGATATGGAATGTTACAAGGTAGCCGTCCTACATTCTCCAATCTCCCTCTTAAATTTCAGATTATGGCATATTAACACACAGAATATATGCCTTTTTTGCAGGAGGAGATCTTTGGCCCAGTTCTTATTTGCATGCAGGTTAGTTGTTAACTATTCTTCCATGTCGCATTACCAATACCTATCAAGTGATATACTAAGCTAGAATTGTCTTTTTGCTACTCTCAGGCCAACAGCTTAGACGAGGCCATTAACATTGTTAACAAGAATAAGTAAATCCAGTACCCTGTTCTTTTTTCTTTCCCTCCCACCCTCAAACTCATGTTCCGTTGAAGTGTGTTTGCGTCCTATACCAATGTCATCCTGCTTTTGCAGGTGGGGTAATGGTGCTGCTATCTTTACTACTTCTGGTGTAGCAGCAAGGAAGTTCCAAACAGAGATTGAGGCAGGCCAGGTATGATATTTCGCTGCATAAACTTGGTAACCTATTTGGAAAGAAAAAAAAAACTATGGTGATAAAATCCTCACTTAAAAACGTATGAATTACTGGATAGAGAATTGTGCTTCACTCTGTTTCTGCCTGTCTGTAATCCATGTATGTATCATTTGGCATACCATTTTAGGTGTTGCATAATGCAATAAAGCAAGTTTTTGTGTTTCCGCTTGCTGATAAAATTGTTTTTTATTTTGCTTGTGCTTCCTTTTGAAGGTTGGGATCAATGTTCCTATTCCAGTTCCACTACCATTCTTCTCTTTTACCGGATCTAAGGCTTCTTTCGCTGGTGACCTCAATTTCTATGGTAAGGAACAAAGATATTCATTCTAGTCTTTATTTGTATCCGCGTCCTGCTCGGGAAATGGTACTCAATTTCATTTTATTGTTTGGGATGTGCATTGTAGGCAAGGCTGGAGTTCAGTTTTACACACAGATCAAGACTATAACACAGCAATGGAAGGATTTGCCAGGTGGCTCTGGTGTCTCTCTAGCAATGCCAACTTCTCAGAAGTAATAAAAAATGTATTGATGAACTTCAGAATACCCTTTCTAGAATGCAATAAAAAAACCTTTTTCAGAAATTGTCCCTCTCAAACTAGCCCCCTCATGTCCCCTGTGTTAATTTTCGTTACCAGATTTTCAATTCCTCCGGCTAAAAGTACTCTGTTTCCCTCTCCTCTCTTCACTATCCTCCCCCTTTGTGTGTGTGTGTGTCTGTTTGATGCCCTTAGAAAGGGAAATAATCAAAACACCCGCTGTAGGAGATGGGTGAAATCCCATTTGAGACAAAAAATGTAAAGCGGTTTTTTCTCGTTGTTCCTAAGCCTTGGTGGACAGAATTAGTGGTGGGAGGTAACATGTACCTAATGAAATAGTCAACATGTCCCTACCACTGTTATCTAAAAACAAAAGGAAAAAAGCCTTTCTGTTTACCTATTACTTTTCTGTAAATAACTCTCAACACTTCGAAATTCTCAACAAGCCACATGATTCTCTTTCAAAACTTGCCATTGAGACTTGTAGCGGCTGTTGCACATTTCAATAGTTTTCAGATAGCTGAAGCTAGCAAACCTGCTATGATAACTAACTTGAATGTATGATAATAACCAGCTATAGTCGGTAAACTGTCCGTGAATATATATAACTCATTCGTCTATAGATATGGCTTGGTCCAAATATCTCTAAGAAGCTCCTGTATTAGCAGCAGCAAAAGATTCTTGAAGCTTTGCCAAGTGCTTTCTCCCCTTAAGATGTGCAATCATGTCAATCTCTCCAGAGCACCTCAAGCTACAGAAATTACACCATAGCTTGGCCTCAGCCCTGTGCCTTTTCCCACGGAGATGGGCTTGTAGATTCTGCTCTGAGGAGTTTGTCACTTGACAAATTGCACAACTCCACCTTGTCTGGAATTTTTGTATAAAACATGTCTCGGGGAGTTTGATCACTTCAGCACTTGCTCGAATGGTTGCTTCATAGACCTCTATAGCTGAACCTGCTTTTTTCTCAATCTCAACTACATTTTCAACCATACTTCCAACCTGCAATTTTGCAGTGGACATGTTTAATCAGTGGCAAAGATATTTCAAACATGCTTCAAAGAAATTAAATGAACTTCTGTTTCCTCTTTCTCGCTATCTTCTTCCTTTTTTTTTTTTTTTTTTTTTTTTTTTGGTTTCAAACATGGAAATTACTTATTCAAAGGGTTAAGAAACATAACCTGGTTTAATTCAGCTGCATCACCTTTTGCTATGCACTCCATCACTTCGATCTCTCCCAAAGCCAGGCCATCCCCGTTGCACTCTGGCTGTATAGCCCATACGATAATTACTTTGTGGATTTTCAGGATTGGAAGTATACGCAGACAGAAAAATTCGCTTTTACAAAGAGAGAATGATATATGGTCTAACTAAAGCAAATTCAAAAATGTTGTATTTGGACTGCTAAAGAGAAAATCGTAGCTGCTACGTCATAATTACATACTGACTAAAACACAAGTTGAAAGTTGCTAATTCAGCTCATGGGTGATGGATATATATATATATATATATATATATATATATATAAAATTGGTATATTTAATTTATATATTGTATTATTTATGCTACTGCAAAGCTAGTCCTTTATGTTTTTTTCCTTCTAACTTTTGATGATTATCTAAAAGGTAAAAATAATATTTTTTGAAGAGAGAAGAATAAGTTAATGAAATAGATATAGTTAGCATTAACTAAATTTCATATATTTAGGAATTTTTCGGAATGGATGCATCATGTTGATATAGGGATTGAAAATAAAAAGATTGTTATGGCGAAATTTTAGGCTTAAAATGAGGGTTCCATTTCTGGCAGGGGTTTGTTAAGATGGTAATTTTTTCATGGCTACAATTGGAATATTCATTTTAATACTTAAAATCTGCAATTTTGTTTTTTTACATTGCCTAGTTACGAAATCTTCATGAATGCTGTGTAAATATTAAGGACAAAGTGTCATGTATTTGCACCTTCCTCTATTAAATATTATGACATCATGTCCTTAACTTCATATGTGCAGTGTAAATATTAAGGACATAATGTCCTTAACTTGTATTTGCACATTCTGTTGTTAAACTTTAAGACCTCATGTCTTTAACTTAATATGTGCAGTGTAAATGTTAAGGACATGGTGTCCTTAACTTCATGTGTGCAGTGTTAATGTTAAGGACATAATGTCCTTAATTTTATGAATATTGTGTAAATATTAAGGATATAGTGTCCTTAACTTCATGTGTGCAGTGTTAATGTTAAGGACATAATGTCCTTAATTTTATGAATATTGTGTAAATATTAAGGATATAGTGTCCTTAACTTCATGAATGATGTGTAAATATTAAGGACAAAGTTTCCTGTATTTGCACCCTTCGTTGTTAAACTTTAGGACATCATGTCGTTAACTTCATATGTGCAGTGTAAATGTTAAGGACATGGCGTCCTTAACTTCATGCGTGCAGTGTAAATGTTAAGGACACCATGTCCTTAATATTTACACAACACTCATGAAGAAAGGGTAACAACGTCTTTTCGTATTAATTTTAATAGAGTAATGACTATTTTTGTTCAGCATTAAAAATACTGGATAAAAACAAAATACCATGTAAAAAAGTGGCTATCCCACGCCATTTCTACGGCAATATGCGTGCTGATCCAATCACAACTCTCTTTATTAGACGTATATACTACAAGGAAATTTTCATAACTAAACAAATTCTAAACAAAGATTACAAATTTTTAGCCTAAATCCCAATGTTACAACTGTGTCACAGAAAATATTTATATTCTATAACAAAAACTCACTCCCATTATAATTGGGATATAATTAACCATTCATAAAAAAAAAAGCAAAATTGAATGGGAAGAGAATAACGTCCATTAAANCACATATATATATATATATATATATATATATATATATATATATATATATATATATATATATTTTGCATATTAATGTGTAAGATACATAAAATACACATGTTTTATACAAAATCAGTATGTATTTTTTTGTATATTTAGCAAGAGGTTGCAATCATTTTGGTCAATCCGTCAAGGAATATTTACCTATCTAAATTATATAATAAACTTATTTACACCTGTTAGAGAGGTTATCATTTAATTACAATAACATATAGAATTTATTATTTATATATAAAATAATGTATTAGATTCTAATTTTACTCATTTTTCTTCCCTCTTCTTCTCCCTCCGCAGAGTGAGAAATGACAGGAAGGTGCACGAGCTTTGCTTGCCAGATTCTGCCTTCAGCAAATGCATCCAGATTTATGTTGCTATGGGTTTCAGCAATTCACAATAGCAGCAGACGCAAATGAACGAGGAAATCCGACTCCCAGTTAAATGGATGACAGCCTCTTTGAAATTTATATCTCAATTTTGATCGAATTTGGTGAAGATTCGAGTTGATTTTGGTTGGAATTTCAGATAGAAACTCGAGGAAGAAGATATTAAAAAACATATATATATATTTTATGTCAGGTGTAGAAACGGTATACAAAATATATATAATTAATATAATCACATACAAGTTGTATATAAGTTGTAGATAAATTTTAGTTTTTAACCTGATTTCTGTACACAAAAATTGTATTTGAGTTGTAGATAAGTTATAGATTTTAACCAAATTTGTATATATTTTTGTAAAAAATTTATTTAATTTCTCTAGATAGAAAAACTTAGATAAACCTGGTAAATAATTTTAAAATTTCGTATATACGAAAAAGTCTCATCAGTCAAATATGTTAAAAGCCCAAAAACTTCTTCTTCCCATCGACTTAGGCCTCCATGAATGGTAAAAGTTGCACGGGGCATCCTATTTGGTCGCTCACATTTAACATATACCCACTTTTTAAAAAAGTTTTAACTTACACCCACTTTTTATACAATTTCAGGTTTCTTTCTCCTCCTCATTCGTTTTCTCCTCCTCCTCCTCCTCCTCCTCCTTCTTCTTCTTCTTCTTCTTCTTCTTCTTCTTATTATTATTATTATTATTATTATTATTATTATTATTATTATTATTTGGGTGACAATGGTTTTATTTGGTGGTTGTGAACATATTTTAATGTACTTTATAATATTTTACAATGGTGAGCTATTATAACACTTTATTTTTTTACTATTGCTTAGGTTTTAATCTTCTTCTTTTTCTTAATTGCAAAATAGGTTCATTAGATTTATTATTGTTTTGATAAATTGATGATTGGGGTTTGTTCCTGATGATATTTGGAGGTTATGTTTCAAATTTGAGCTCATTTGGAGTAGATTTAGGTATTAAATCGTATATTGGATTGTTATAATTCGAAGAACAAATTCCTGTTTCTGGGCAATTTGTACTTCTTGCCTATTTAGCCTTAAGTGCATAAAAACCTTGCTAGTACATCAGACTTGCACATCAGACCTTTTGGCCTTAAGTGCATCTGAAGTGCAATTGTTCACTTCATACTTATTGGCCTTAAGTATAGCAAAATGTTTGTTGCACTTAAGACCTTTTGGCCTTAAGTGCATCTGAAGTGCAATTTTTCACTTCAAACTTATTGGCCTTAAGTGTAGCAAGACGTTTGTTGCACTTTAGACCTTTTGGCCTTAAGTGCATCTGAAGTGCAATTTTTCACTTCAAACTTATTGGCCTTAAGTGTAGCAAGACGTTTGTTGCACTTTAGACCTTTTGGCCTTAAGTGCATCTGAAGTGTAATTTTTCATTTCAAACTTATTGGCCTTAAGTGCATGAAACCATTAGTTACACTTCAGACGTATTTGGCCTTAAGTGCATCTGAAGTGCAGATTTTCACTTCAGACTTATTGGCCTTAAGTGCATCTGAAGTGCAATTTTTTACTTCAAACTTATTGGCCTTAAGTGCATGTAACCATTGGTTGCATTTCAAACCTATTTGGCCTTAAGTGCATTTGAAGTGCAATTGTTTCACTCTAGACTAATTTTTTTAACTTCAGAACCGATAAGTCTGAAGTTGATCGTAAAGTGGGTACGCTTGCAAACGTTTTTGCAAAGTGGGAATAGGTTCAATTGTGACCCCAAAACCGGATATAGATGCAAAACCTTGCTAGATGTTGCATACAATTTTCAGGGCCCAAACATAGAAATCCATGGGGTTCTTTACCCAAATAACTGTTCATATTCATTACTTACTTTTTTTAGTCATATATATAGTTTATACATTAATTATATATGATTATATATATAATATATAAATTATACATATATTATACCTCCATTGATTTTTTTAGTTTAAACAGTTGGGTGGACGGTTATTTGGGTTAATTCTTCAAATCCCCATGCCTATTCTGCATCAAACTGGGACCTAAGTTTACTTTCTAAACAACACTGATGACCTATCTATTTCAAGTTGAAAATTTTACCTCCAATAGCAAAGGTATACAAAATATGTGCAACTAATATAATCACATACCAATTGTATATAAGTTGTAGATAAATTGTAGTTTTTAACCTGATTTATGTACACAAAAATTATATTCGAGTTGTAGATAAATTGTAGATTTTAACCAAATTTTTATATATTTTGTAAAAAATTTAGTTACTTTCTATAGATAGAAAAACTTAAATAAACCGGGTAAATAATTTTAAAATTTCGTATATATACGCAAAAGTCTCATCGGTCAAATATGTTAAAACCTTAAAAACTTCTTCTTCCCATTTGTATAAGCCTCCAAGAAATGCCTTGCGAGATGTTGCATACAATTTTCAGGGTCCAAACATAGAAATCCATGGTAAAAATAGCATGGGCTAATCAGCTTTCGGACTAGTCATTCAAAAATAGCCAGCGTTTGCCAAGTTATTAAAAAATAGCCACTATTTTACTGCAATAGAGATCGGTCCAGCATAATATACCGGAGTTCGGTGTACCTGTGTATGAACTTCAAGCATATTATGCTGGAACTCCAACACGCGAAAAGTTCCAGCATAATATACTGGAGATTCGAGTACCTGTGTATGAACTTCAAGCATATTATGCTGGAACTCCAACACGCGAAAAGTTCCAGCATAATATACTGGAGATTCGAGTACCTGTGTATGAACTTTCAACATATTATACTGGACTGGTATACTTTGCTGGAACTCCAGTATATTATGCTGGAGTTCTAGTATACTTATGCTGGAACTCCATTATATTATGCTAGAGTTCCAGTATACTTATGCTAGAACTTCAGTATATTATACTGGAGTATTTTCCGGATTTTGAACAGTGTTTTCGTTCAAATTTATCTTTACATGAAAAGTGTCTAAATTTGGATTACTTTGAAAGTGTGACTATTTTTGAATGACCACTCGTAAATCTGGCTATTTTTGAATTTCTCCCTAATCCATGGGGTTCTTTACCCAAATAGACATTCATATTCATTATTTACTTTTTTCTAGCCATATATATAGATTATACATTGATTATATATAATAATATATAAATAT